TTTAAAACTGCCTAAAATAAGTACATTTTGCAATTTATGTATTATGTTAAACCCTTTTTGCTCTAGCCATCCTAAAGTATACTGAATTGAGGTTTAGATATTTTGTTTTATGCATTTCATTATGGGTTCTTTTATGTGTGCCCAAGTCATTGGGCTCTAAAACCCAAGAGAGCTAGTACAACCACACAGATCTCTAGGCAATACACACTCACTCGCTCATTCAATCAAAGGCTAGTATGAACTGCTCCCCCCTCCATGTCTCCTACGTCTACTACTTTTCTGCCTACTTTTCCTCTAACTCAGGGGTCCCCAAACCTGGCAACTTTAAGAGTTGTGGGCTTCAACTCCCAGAATTCTCCAGGCTGGAGAATTCTGGGAGTTGAAGTTCACAAGTCTTAAAGTTGCCAAGTTTGGAGACCTCTGCTCTATGAATCTATGAATCCTACTGCTGGAGAACAGTGTCTCTTCCCATCTGCTTTAATTTGCTTCACACACTTCCTTCCCCATCTCCCACACACCAGCAGCACCACACCCTTCCCTTCTCAGATTTAATAGCCAATAATTGCTGTGTTGGCTAGGGAGAGGGCTTAAAAGGACAGGACAACAGGAGCATAGGTGCTGCTTATTTTGTAAGCACCCTATCTTCTCACAATTTCTTTACAAATTGATCTGCAGAGACGAAGAAAAAGTAGCCACCCTCTGATTGAGAATCCTGTTTGTTAAAGAAACAGAACAAATGTTATAAGGGACACAATATAAAACAGTTTTTCCCCTCTAGATATAAGTATTATGAAGCATTGCAGAAGCTATGCACACTACAACATTATACCATTTTTAATCTGAGAGTAAATCCCTAGAATGGATAGGGATTTAGGTCTAGCATTTTAAGCAAGACTTATCTTTAACATTTCACCACGGAAGTTGCATCTTGAATATTTAAGTCACTTATAGGAGTAGTGATTATTTTATTGCACTTATTACTCTAGATCAGATAAGCCACAAGCAATCCTATGCTCCAATTCCAAAGAACACAAGAGTCATTATGTTTGGAAAAGAGCAAAAGTAAAGAGAAAACTTATAGTACTTCTAATAAAACTTAAAATTAGTTCTATGTGATGTAATAGGCAAGAATCAATTGAAGCTCAGAAACTCAAATACTGAGATAGATTTGTGGCTCTAATAGTTTTCAGTTGTTTAATATTGGCAACATTTAAAGCACTTTTAAAATCATTCCAGCACTTCAATCTGTGCATGTTCATTAAGCTGGAAATAAATTCTGCTGTGACAAGCAGAACTTTCAGATTGTGTGAATAGGATTGCATGCAGACCAACTCTAGCCATAAGAGTTAAGAGCATTTAGTTTAATATACTTTATTGTTTAAGGTTATTTGTACCTTCAAATCAGTGTTGACTCCTGGCAATTGCCTGGACTGGTCCTTGTCATTCTGGGAAGATTTTTTAAGCAATAACTCTTTTTTCTTTCTTCCTGGGCTTACAGAGAATGACTGGCCTAGGTGTTGGTTGGTTTTGCACCTAAGACAAGATTAGAACTCTTGGTCACCTAGGTTTTAGCCTCATCTTATGAAAATCCCATCTGTACACGGATGCATGCAATCCTACTCATTACTCTTAGTATGCTGGCAGGAAGCTGAAGCATATACCGAGTGAGGCCACTGTACAGTAATACTTAGTTTGGTATAAATACATTTACCTGGTCTTTTCTTTATATTGATCTTTTTACAACAGGCTGAATGTTTGTTGAAATGTATTTATTGCTATGACTTACAATAGAAATCTTAATTCTACCAGCTTTATAGATGAAAAGAACTGATTTTTAAAATGAGAACATAGTAAGTCCAAAGTGGCAGAGGTGGTGGGCTGTTCTGATGTCATTTGTACTCAAGTTCAAGATTGCTGTAGTAAGATGAGATGAGATGTCATAAGATAGCCTTTATTGTCATTTTTTACTGTGAGCACACTGGTCCACATTAAAAATGAAATTCTACTCTCAAAAGAAAGCATATATCTACCCATACCCATACATAACACACACAGATTAGTCTAGTTGAAAACACCCAGTGTTATCTGACTTCAGAAGAGTGGGCACAGTGTTCCTCTATCTTCACACTAGGGGGAAAAAAAACCCAATTTCAAAGTATGATGAATGACCAAGCTTCAAAGACCTCAGCAAGCTGAGGTAACTGGAAAACAAAATCCAGAAAAGCAGCCTGGCCCTGAACAAAGGTTTAATTCTCAGACTGTCTCAGGGCTGGATTCGTTCCATTCCCAAAAGAGAGGAAAGCAAAACCACATTGAAGTGAAAGTGTTATTGAATTGGCAGGTGGCAAAGATCCATTCCTTGCCCTACAATTATTACCAGTGGACACTCTGGGGCTGCTGCTGGGTGCTAAAGGAAGACCTGAAGATCTATGCATCCTTTGAGAGAGGAATATATGAGCACAACATACAAGACTGGATTACTTTTTGAGCATGTAATATATTGTTTCTTATACTTGCTCAGACTCTCTGTTTTGCCTAGGTCACCCTGGCTTGCACGAAACAGCTATAATCTAATTATATGTAATTAATTTGCGAAGGAGTTGCATGGTAGCCAACAAGCCAGCTTAGAAAACCTTGTATTTGCTCCATGGGTTATTTCTAATTCTACAGCACTCCATCCATAGGCCAATATATATATAATTTATATAAATATATATATTGTAATTAGACATTTGTGGAGACTCCTGAAAAGGTGGGTGAAATTCTTCAATGTTTTAAACCTAAAATCTGCTGGTACGGGTGTGGAATGGTATTAAATGCTTCCAGGCTAAAAAATCTATCCAAATTTGCCTAAGTGGACTCCATATTCATGAGGAAGATTATGTTGAAGTAGGTAGTAACAATGGTGATAGTAGCCTTAAGCTCTTGAATCATGAGATTTTCTAACTTAATTAGTGATTAATACTCTAACTCTCCTATCGTATACATATGGCATATGATTTGGTGAAACTATTTTTAATTGTAGTGATACAATTTAAAGTAAAGAGCATAGACATGCAGTAGAAAAGAGGCAAGCTCCTGAGCGGATACATTTTGAAAGTAAACACATTTTGTCAGTAAAGAAAAGCAGACCTAACACACCTCCCTTCAATTTCTTTCATTCTTTGTTAGATATATTTTTCTTCAAGAGAGAGGCCCCCTTTCATGACAAGATCCTTTCATTTTGTCCCCACACAAGAAGAATCCATTGCCTCCAAGGATTTGGCTGAGAGAAGGTGACTTGCCAAAGGTCTTCCAAGGAGTTTCTGTGGTTGAATATAGATTTGAATTGTGGCTTCCCAGAAGTTATCCCAACATCTGACTGCTACAGACTTACCATGGGCAGGCAAAATGAGGCATCCGATCTTTGGCATTCTGGCTTTGCAAGAAAGTCATAACAATTTCAGGAACTTGTCCCAGGCATCACAGCAGCTCTTTACCAACACCAGTCTTGATCTTAGTCTCAGGTAGCAATGTCTTTTGGTGCCATCATGAGAAGAAGAGGAAGGTAAGGTAAGGTAAAAGACCTTCTAATTAGAAAGATGAGTTATGATTTGTTGCAAGTGCCATCAGTTTGGGACATTTTAATAGCTAACAGGGCAGTTCTCTCATTTGAAGATTTCACTTAGGTTGGATGTCACAACACCCTATATCAGAGATGCTGAATCATGGATTGTTGTCTAAGACAAAATGGAAATATGGTTTATGGACAACAATATATTGAAATAATTGATTTTAGTTCATATAGCAAGGGACATCAACTTGAATATTTTGGTTTAATGAGCTGTACAAACATACAAGGAATGTACTTATCTGAGTTTTACACGCTTGTAACTGGAAAACACGAGTTCAGCTGACACATGTGCAATGCACCCACTTTGCTATGGTACATGCTCAGGAGTGAGTCTTCATATTCCATGGTTGTGGGTCTTCGAGGTTGCTATCTGATATCACGATCACAATGGATAACAAAACTCAAGGATGTGGCCTTGACTCTGTTCCCTGTGGAGGGAATGGCAAACTTTTGAAGTTAAGGATCAGGATATTCAAGGTAGCAATGACAGAGTGGGCGAGAGGTGATTCATCTATTCTAGAGAAAGTGGTTTTGGACAAGTATCTCCATCTATTAAATGCTGAAAATCTAGAATGAGCTTTCAGATTAATCATCTGTGTCTCTTCCCTTTTGAAAATCTATCTAATAACCTATCTAAATAGGAGGTAATGAGTCTTAGCTCTACAATGGTTGAGCAGGAAAAAGCAAGATAAATAATACTAAAAGCTCATGAAAACAGGAATTTGGATAGGGCATAATGTTAGACTGGAATTATTAAGCCTTTCCCAGGCCAATTCTAGTTGCGCTGAGGTAGTGGGATCCGACAGGGCCCAAACCAGAACTAGATTTCCCTTCGTCTCTACTCTGCACATATGGACCGAGGGGGTAGACGAGATTTAGATAGTAGAAAAGCCTGAAGACAGATTGGTTACGCCAACTTCGCCAAGAGCCTCGGATCCCTCCAGGGCACAATGGAGGTAACTGTACCAATGCCTTAAACTGTCTGCTGGCAGGTAGAAGGAAATCAGCGAACGCAGACACCAAAAGAGAGCGTTCTCTGCTCTCGCTCCCCCTTTAGATATAGCCTAGGTGTATACTCCCCCTCCCACTGCCCCTTGACCATGGGAGGTCCTCCACTGAGCCCTGATTGGCTGGTGATGTTGGTTAATGGCACGCGCCTGCGGTTGTACTTATAAGAATCCTCGCGTGCCGGTCCTCGGTTCTTATGAGTCTGCAGCCTCCGTCGGGGAGAGAGAACGCGCGCAAATACGCAGAAGGGAACAGTAGCAAATCGTAGCGCCGCAGGAGCCAAAGGCGGAGGCGGGGAGCAGAGAAAGAAAAAGCAGCTACTCGCCCACAACTGGCTTCGCCTGACGCCTTTCCCGACCCACATTCTTTCAGATCCGGCATGGAATCGGTACTCCTGGAACACTTTCCTGCTGGGCTGGACTCCTTCTCCTCAGAATCTTACTTCGACGACGAGGAATTTTTCACTGATCAGTTTTCCCGCGACCCTATGGAAGGTGACGAGCTCCTGGAGGCCGAGGTGGACTTCCTGAGCCCGCCGTTGCACGGGTGTTACCGCAGCGACGGGGCTGGCGGTGGCTCAGCATCCGAACATGTGCCCGAACTCTCTCGGTGCTGTGAGGCGGATCCAGGCAGCTTCTCGACGTCCGTCTCATCGCCGTCGTCGGCCAGTTTCACCTATGAGTGCTGCGGACTGGCGACGTCGCCCAGGGGCAGCCTCAAGGCTTTGAGTGCAGCGGCGGCGGCAGCGGCAGCGCGGCGGCGGCGGCGGGTGCGCTCCGAGGCGGAGCTGCAGCAACTGAGGCAGGCGGCCAATGTGCGCGAGCGACGGCGGATGCAGTCCATCAACGACGCCTTCGAGGGGCTGCGCTCTCATATCCCCACTCTGCCCTACGAGAAGCGCCTCTCCAAGGTGGACACTCTGCGCCTCGCCATTGGCTACATCAACTTCCTCAGTGAGCTGGTCCAGTCCGACTTACCTTTGCGCAGCGCGGGCAGCCAGAGCCCATGCCAGCCCAAGAAGGTTATCATCTGCCACCGGGGCACAAGTAAGTGCAGGGTGAGCTTCCCGTCCCGGTCAGGCGCGCTCCAAATGAAAAGAGAGAGGGAGACTCCTTGGCCACAGTGGCTTCGGTGCATCTGTGGAAACCTTGCAGACGACCGTCCTCCAGCTCAAGCGCTCCGTTTTCCCTAAACCCACTCCTCTCTCCAGAGCAGTGAGAGGTCGTCGCAGCCCAAAGCCTTGCTTTGGAACTCCCTGACTCGGTGCACAAAATAGGTGTCCAATAGGATTCCATTCGCGTTCGGACTTTCTCATGGACACGTCTGTCCGGTGGCTATTATTGCTGCTGCTGCTGCTGCTACTCACAAGTTTATGCACGAGCAGACACAAGAACTTTATTCTTTCCTTTGTTTGCTAGTGAAATGTGCTTGCAGCGACCCAAAGACGATCCTCCGACGGGGGTAACAACTGAGAGGATACAGTCATTCGCGGCGGAATTTAAATTCTAAGAGGCCACTATTTTGCATGGGTCTGTAGATCGTTTGCATCCAAATCGCTGCACCACTGATAGGCTATTACCCTCAAAACCCAGCAATACCCATAGTAATCTTAATGTCTGCGTGCAGTCAAAAGGAGTTGAGATCCAAATTAGGGTGCTCCCTACATAATAGCCTCTGCAGAAGCGCACGCCCATTGGAAAAGTAAAAAACCAACTCTAGCTATAGAGAGAAGCTGCTTTCTCCCCAAATATCGTGTTGGGTTATGCAAGTATTAAATTCCTTTAAAAATTGATACACTATTCCAATAGCTAGATTAAGTGGTGAGTGAGTTTAAGACTATATTATATACTCAGCAAATGATGCCCCAGTTAGCTAACTCCCTGTCACAAGTGTGACAGAAAGTGGGAAGTTAGTTATCTGGAAAAATTTATATTGCTGCCTACTCGTTCATGACACGTTTATTCCAATCTGTGTATGGTAAGAATATTCGGTCTAACGCTCTTCCTTTGTTTATCTTTCTTCCAGGATCACCTTCTCCAAGTGACCCAGATTATGGACTTCCTCCTCTTGCTGGGCATTCACTCTCCTGGACTGATGAAAAACAACTCAAGGAGCAAAACATTATTAGAACTGCTAAAGTCTGGACTCCAGAAGACCCCAGAAAGTTAATCGGCAAATCGTCTGTGAACAATATTGAAAACGAGCCCCCATTTGATTTCATATCATAACATGAGAACATTAGTTTAAAATATCAATATTTTGCCAGCATACATACAGTGGTATGAATTCTTGGTTCTAAGCTTGATTGTGTTGCTTACAGACATTTCATTACCTGATTAGGCAGCAATGTGAACCTGGTAATGTTCATCTGCAAGCAAACAACCGAACTTAGCACAAAGAACTCCAGCCCTGGCTACATATACCTCTACTTTATTGGAACAGTGTTGCTTAACAATACATATTTTCAAAAGTACTTTACAATACAAAAAAAGTATTCTAAGCAATCACCTTTTTTTCTATTTATTATTTACACCTGGGGGAATGGAGCTCTTTTTTGAATGTATAATTTATATAATTTATCCTAATGTTAAAATATGCAATACTTGTAGATTCATTCACCAGCACCTTTGCAAAAATTCTTTGTTAGAAAGGAACATGTTTCCCAAGAAATGTGAACATAATATATTACCACTTGTTGAATATGTTAATTATATTAAAATATTTACTAATATTTTAATTTACTTTGATTAAAATGAGTTTATTTGGAGGAGGATCTGTTCTCAGGTAGAACTTTAGATTAAATTGTTTATAAAATACTGGAAGTTTCTGCAGATCGAGGAGATGTCTTGATGCAGGATTCAGCAAATAAACTCTGTGCTAATAAATGTATTCAGCTAATAAATTTGTTATTTAAAGACCATCCCTCTAATTGGTTCTATGCTGCAAAAATGTTAATCCTATATTACTGTATGGAGAAGCCCAGTGCCTTCCAGATGCATAAGGATTATAGTTCCCAGAATCCCTAGTTAACTGGCAACCAAGGAACATTTTATCACATATCCTGACTGCTTTTCAACATTGTAGCCTTCTTAGGAAATCTTTATATCTGAAAAGCTTTATTAAGATGTAGGAATGTGAAGTGTTTTAAAAACTGGTAAAACTACATTGAAATGTTCCAATAAGCTTTTCACTTCAAAAATAAGTCATGGGTGGTAAAAAGTTGGGTGACATCCAATGGGTAAGGTTGCAATCCAGGTTTGTTGGTTCACTAAAGGGTCTTTCTCTGTGTGAGAAAGTTTGTTTCCTTATAGCAGCAACCCATTTTACTACTTTCATTAATATTGCTTAGCTAACATTTCTAATGGGTTTGTAAAATCACTGGAGGCTCAGGATTAGAAGTATTTCATTGGATCACTTATCAATATCTAGCACTAGTCTGAGATCAGAAAGTTCTGTCATGGTTAATAATACTTGAAAACCAGCATATCCCAAAGATTAGTACTGTAGTATGGTAATGCAACAAGTTTATTAGAAGAGGTGGAGTTTTGCTTCACTGAATAACTTCAAGAAGACTTTGTTAAGCTGTGTGCTGAGAATTGCCAGTTTATAGACTGCTAGCTGATAGCAAAAGGTTGAGCTACATGACATAATCTTTTAAGTTTTTTTGCAATTATCTCTTGGAATATTGATGTCTCAATCAAGTCTGCAGAGGGGAGCCAGCAGTATTTTTCCTGTGACAAATTTGATGGGAATATGTCCTTTTCCACTTGTATTCCACTTGAATTATTCCACTTGATGTATTCTACTTGAATTATTGTACAGAAAGTTTCTTTACTGTAATCCCTTTTAATCTTTACATTCTATGAATTTATTATATTTAAGGGTTATTTTTGTTATTGTAGTAGAGATGATTCTGCATATCCACCTATGCTCATGGGAAGAAGACGTCATGTCTTTCTAAGAATTTCACAGGATTGTCTTCAAAAGTTTGTGTTCATTAAGGTTTTATGAACCAGACAGTTGAAAATAAGGCTACTTCTATTTCTAAAAATATAATTGCAAACAGCAACAGCACCATCAGCACTTTCAGAAGCAGGTGAAAAACTGGCCACTACACCATCGGGGACTTGAGTCCCTGTGGCTAGATTCAGCCTTATCCGAACGTAAATGTATCTGGCAGCTCTTTATAGGATTCTCTGCAGGCTTTAGCTTACCGGTGTATAACTTAATTATAAAGGCAATCTACTTTTCAACATGATTAGTGAGATCTGCTGCTGTCCTAAAGGCACGGGAAAACAACAAAAAATATTTTCCAGCATATTTTAGCCCTAATTTGTCTGCTATATTCCCTATTCCAAATTCCACCACTCTGTGGGTGGGTGTGTAGAGTGGTGTATGGGGGAATTGTAGAAGGAAAGCCCTTCTGAAAAGTAATCCTGATGTGGGTTAGATACAGTCCGAAAAGTACCCTACCCCCACCTCCGCCCCGCAAACGGACATCCTCATCTGAGACCACGACCCTGCATTGAATGAAAACCTAGTTTGCGAAATGGATCGATCTAGCGAGGAGGCTAAACTGAGCGCCGCACAGTGGGGGGTTCCCAGGGTCGGAGGTGTGTAGTTTAGAGCCAGTTCTACACCCCAAGGCGAGGGCTGCAAAGGCGGCAGAGACTTCTGGCTGCCCCGAGGCTGTGCTTCAGCCGCTTCTGCTTCCGCGGCTGGCCAAGGCCGCAGGTGCGGATTTTCCCATGTTAGACGCCATGGATCTGCGGGAGAAGCCCAGCTGCCTAGCCCAGGTCTAGTATGTCTGATCCAGCACTGTTCTTGCTGCTCCTGCCCGGGGGAGGGGAGAGGCAGGCGGATGGGAACCGCGGTCAGTCTTCGGAGCCCCAAAACAGCTAATGACCCCTCGCTACGCCGGCACTTTCGGAAAGCAACAGGAACGCATCACCCGCTCGGGCAGGCTAATTGCATTAACCTAGATAGGCTGGCAAACTGGCCCATGTCTTCCGTCTGGCACCATCCCTTCAAAGGACAATTAGCCAGATTTCAGTTCCCTTGCCCTCCATTGGCAATCTCGGGCGGCGGGAAGAGGAGCAGCCCCGCCCCCCCGCCCCCCCCGGAAAAGGAGCAGGAGAAATCCACCGGCCAACACAATTAAACTGTCGAGAGCCGCGAAGGAAAAGCAGGCGGCGAAAGCGGAGGATTGAATAGGCCAGCTACCATTCGGTAGTGCAGTATTAGGCTCTCATTAAACACAGAAAGGCTCCTTGGCACAAACGCTTCCAGGAGGCATGTAATTTCATTTACGCTCATTAGAAAGTCAAATGGCCGCTAGATTCGAACGCCTTGAGACTAAGCGGCGGAAGGGCCCGTTGCTCAATAGCCGGAGGAGGGGGGAGGGGAGTGCTTGCTGAGGCCGTGGCTTTGCACCACCCCAACACGTCTATGGGGCGGCTTCTCTTCGATGGCATCACTTTTGCGGGTGTGAGGAGGCGCGCGCGCGCGCGCGCGCGAAGGCGTGAGTGCGTTTTGTTGTTCAGGGATGGCCTCTTCACATCCTTAAGTCTAGCGCAGATCAAGCGGAAGAGCCGGGCTGCTCAGGGTAAAAAAAACCACAGGGTCTGTCTATCATGTGACTCTTCTGGTTTGACTCGACAAATCCTTTTAATAACGGTCTTCAAATCATCTCCTTTTGCCGCTCTTTCTCAGCTTCATTCACTACAGTTGCTGCGAATGTTTGAAAGGCCAGAAAAATAATCTAAAAGGTGCGTGCGTGTTCTTTCACACACATATACATAAACAGATACCCATGTATAATTCCACATGCACAGGGAAATCAATCTTTCTCCCAAGACCCGAACCAAAGTGCTATTTAAGGCAGACATGGAAATTGCAAAAGAAAATTAAACCAATGAAGCAGCAATAGTCGCCCGCGCGTGTCCTTGTATAATATTGTTTGGCACTGGAAGGAACCAGCGTGCGGGCTTCCATGACTGACAGCTATTCAAACCTTTGAAACCAATGTTTTCTCTACTCTCCTTCTCTACCCCTTGCCAAAAAAATTAATCAAGAGCGACAATAAAGAGATTCATAGATAAGCTCCTCCCCTTGGGGTAGTGCGTTTGCATTCAAGTAAATAATGCTTTCCCTCCCACCCTCCCCAACAGTCTGATCGGAAGTCAACAGCATGCATTGTTGTGGTTGGGGGAAGGGCTGAAGGATCAAACTAAATCATTTTTTCCTACCTATAAAATAACCCAGTACGTGAAGGTTTTAAAAGAACTTTGCAGTGATCTGATGGAAAAATACTCAGTTTCCGAAGTTTTCTTCAGAATGTTTACTTAGCTAATATTGGAATTGGCCAATGAGCTTGAAAAAAGCAACATGCAGTTTTGGCAAAGATCTAAACTATTCTTCAGTTTTCAGGTTGAACAAGATTTCCATCCATTCAGTAGACACTATAAGGTGAAAGTTGGCTGCTCTATGCACAATTTCCCAATGGGCTAAGATGCCAAGATTTATGTCTACGAGACAGACCGAGGCTGCTGCTGCTGCAGTACCAGCAGATGATGCAACGGTTTCTAAGATCCTGATTTTCTTTCTACTTCTATTCATCAGACTATCCTTGCCTTTGAAATAAATAGCATTTGTGATGCCCAATGTCAGCGAAGGAAGGAAGATGGATTCCTGGGCTGGACAAAGCCACAACCAGAAATCCCATTAAAACCTCGAGGCATCGATCTCTTTCAGCTCCAAGTGCAGGAAAAGAAGCTGCTTTCCCTGAAAAGCAAAGGAAAGATGGGGCGAAAAAGAAACTGCCCCTAATGGAGACTGAGAACCTGCCCCTTTGAGATTCCCAGGCTTTCTAATCTGCTAATATTGGGATTAAGTCTTGTAATATATGGGGTGTGAAACCTCGGCTGGGCATGAACTCATCCCATTTCCATTAAGGTCTCTTTTGCGGTGGCATCGAGGACCAGCTGCCAGGATGAACAAACACCAGTTGAAGGTCCCCCCGTTAAATCTCCTCTCACCCCCTCTCTCTCTTTTTGTCTCCCTCTCTCCCCCATGAAGCCTGTGGGAATGGACCCACACTCATTCCACAACAAATGGCATTTTCTAGATCTGGAAGCCTCGGCAGGCAACGATTCCCACGACGGGATGTGGGGTCTGGCCAACAGGTGCTCGGACTTGGCTGAGGGAGATAGGAGGACTCCGAGATGGG